TCACTAACGGTCCTGCGACTAGCACTGCTACTGTCTCAACTAGTGGTCCTGTGACTAGCACTACTACTGTTGCCTCAACTAGTGGTCCTGTGACTAGCGCTACTACTGTTTCAACTAGTGGTCCTGTGACTAGCACTACTGTTGCCTCAAGTAGTGGTCTTGTGACTAGCACTACTACTGCTTCAACTAGTGGTTCTGTGACTAGCACTACTACTGTCTCAACTAGTGGTCCTATCACTAGCACTACTACTGCCTCAACTAGTGGTCCTGTGACTAGCACTACTACTGTTTCAACTGGTGGTCCTGTGACTAGAACTACTACATCCTCTTCATCTGGCCAGTGTTCGGGTGACTTCTGCGTTGCTGATAGGACGACGTTCCCTAACCTCCTCCCGGCGGGCCAAATAACTACCGAGTCCTTCAGTTTCACTGACTATGGTGCATGGTACCTAGCTGGTTACTCTAGTGATGATGGTATCCGTATGCTTTGGAGACTCCAATGCAACCAATGGCTACCTGTTGCCGAGAAGACTATTTCTAATATCGAGGCTTCGGGCAACGATATGTTCGTGTTTGGCATCAGCGAGGGTGACGTTGGTGTTTTTTACCCGAAGAATAACAATGCTTATCGTATAATAGCTCAGGCGGATCCTTCCAAGGAGTATACTGGAGTCACCTTTGATCAACACTCTAATATTCTATATGTTACCGAAAAGGCTACTGGACAGATTGCTCGGTTCACAGGTCAGGGAGGCGCGTGGATTCCCATGGACCCCTTGAATGGTTCGGGTGTTATTATTGAGCCTACTATTCTGCGCTTCACACTCGGTAAACTTTATGTGATTATTATTAGCACTACTGTTGCCTCAACTAGTGGTCCTGTCACTAGCACTACTACTGCCTCAACTAGTGGTCCTGTGACTAGCACTACTACTGTCTCAACTAGTGGTCCTGTGACTAGCACTACTACTGTCTCAACTAGTGATCCTGCCACTAGCACTACTACTGCCTCAACTAGTGGTCCTGCGACTAGCACTACTACTGCCTCAACTAGTGGTCCTGTCACTAGCACTACTACTGTTGCCTCAACTAGTGGTGCTGTGACTAGCACTACTACTGCCTCAACTAGTGGTCCTGTGACTAGCACTACTACTGTTGCCTCAACTAGTGGTCCTGTGACTAGCACTACTACTGTTGCCTCAACTAGTGGTCCTGTGGACTAGCACTACTACTGTCTCAACTA